ATAACTGACACGATGATGGGGGATCCAAAAGCGCAAGAGAACTTTTGTTAATAAAAGTTTCATTTCTTCATTCAAGTGAGTTTGTCTTTATTCTTGCTGTGCTTTCATTAAAACAATGACCCACAAACTAAGCATTTGTTTTAAATAAGGGAAAACGTCTTATTTATTTGGGTTACAAGGTAAGTAGGCTATATCCATCTTATGCATTTTGTTAATGAAAGTTAGATGTTTAGTATATGCAAATTTGCCATTGTACTATTTTATGATTGATGTGTTTTAACTAATAATAATGAACAACAAACTACGATCATTTTAATGTAAGGGGAAATCCAAAGACCATTTATTTATTTGTGTTACAACGCGTGTATAACATATCATTCTTAATCATTTTGTAAATAAAAGGGAAAATCCAAAAATCCATTTTGTTAATGTAAGGGAAAATCCATAGACCTTTTATTTATTTGTGTTGCAATGAGGGTATTTGTTCATAAAAGTTTTATGTTTAATATCAGCAACTTTGTTGTGTGTGGGGTTTTTTTTCATTAAGAGTAGCCTAATATTGAATCAACCATTTTGTTCCAAGAATATAAAAAGATCTAACGTTAAATAAGTGAAAAATAAGTGCTATACAGATGCGAGAATGCGAGATTAGTTGCTGTTGAGATAAATGGACTCTCTTGCTCTTTCTCTGCTGTCTCTTTGCAATGGTAGATATGGTCGTCAATTCTTAATTTGAGTACAGACATGTTACAGGTAAAAAATTATATGATAAATAAGTAATGGCAACAAATTATTTTTTAAAATTCAGTTTAATGTAATAGTTGAAACGAGTCAATTTAACTCATGTTTTACTGTTGCTTATTTTCATTGTAGGCTTAGGCTACTTTCCCCCCCCAAAGAATTGTAATGAATATACAAATTAATAAAATTAATTGTATTTATTTTTTTGTTACAAAAAAAACAAACAAAAATCCTGGGCTACATGTCAGGGAGTGCTGCAACACCCTCAGTACCCGTGGTAATGCACCCAGTTCCCGTACTGCTCGTCATCCTCTGCTTAGCTGATGTTGCTAAAATATTCATCCTGTGCACTACTTAAATAAACAACCTTGTGTTTGCTCATCATATTTTCTGTCTGTGTTTCCAGACTATAACAGACAACACCAACAACCATGAGCATTCTACTATTGACATAACTGATATTAACTGCTAATGACAAGATTCCATGGGTGCCTGGATGAGCCGTTATTTTCCCAGATTCTGTGGGATACCAACAACTGCACCTTGGAGCAATATATACCCTTAGCTCCCTTGTCATGGCCACAGGGGCTGCTCCTACCTCCAGTGTTCCAAGTTCCCTCATCACGGCCATGAAGGTCGCTCACTTCTCCCTCGTTACAGCTATGAAGGCCGCTCCTAACTCTAGAGTACCTAGCTTCCTTGTCACAGCCATGGAGGCTGCTCCTAACTCCAGTGTTCCTAGTTCCCTCATTAAGGCCATAGAAGCCACTCCTAACTCCAGTGTTTCTAGTTCCCTCGTCACGGCCACGGAGGCCGCTCCAAACTCCAGTGTTCCTAGTTCCCTAGTTACGGCTGCAGAGGCCGCTCCAAACTCCAGTGTTCCTAGTTCCCTCATCATGGCCACGGAGGCCGCTCTTAATTCTAGTGTCCTTAGCTCCCTTGTCATGGCCACAGGGGCTGCTCCTAATTCCAGTGTTCCAAGTTCCCTCATCACGGCCATGAAGGTCGCTCACTTCTCCCTCGTTACAGCTATGAAGACTGCTCCTAACTCTAGAGTACCTAGCTTCCTTGTCACAGCCATGGAGGCTGTTCCTAACTCCAGTGTTCCTAGTTCCCTCATTAAGGCTATGGAGGCCGCTCCAAACTCCAGTGTTCCTAGTTCCCTTGTTACGGCCACAGAGGCCGCTCCTAACCTCAGTGTTCTTAGTTCCCTCATTATGGCAGTGGAGGCCACTCCTAACTCCAGTGTCCCTAGCTCCCTTGTTACGGCCACAGGGGCCGCTCCTAACTCGAATGTTCAGAGTTTCCTCATCATGGCCACAGAGGCCACTCCCTGCTCCCTCATTATGGCTATTGAGGCTGTTTCCTGTTTCCCCATCTCTCAGCCAAACCGCCCAAGGTCATCAAGTCTGCCGGTCCGCCCAAGGTCAACAAGTCTGCTGGTCCACCAGAAGTCATCAAATCTGCTGGCCTGCCAGAACTCATCTGTTCCTCCAACTTTGCAGCTGTCTGTCTCTCTGCTGGCTCTCCTGGTATCATCTAGGTTGCTGGATAATACCTTGTGGCTTCTGAAACACTCTGCTCCACCATGGCATCCTGTGCTGTCTGCATTATCACCGGTGCCACCCTGGAGGACTCCTATCCTGCTGGCACCGCCCTGTTCACCTGCCCTCTACCTGTCGCTCTTCCAACTCCAGGGCATCCAACCTCCCTCCTCGGGTTGGACTCTGTTTGGTGCAAGGTCATGCCTTCTGGGAGGGGGAAGTACTGTCAGAATCTCCAATCACCTGCACATGCCATCATTCACCCTCATCAGCTCCACAATATTTAAGCCTACTTTATACACATCTTTGTCTGGTCTACGACTAGGACTACTCTTTGAATCTTGCGATCTACTTACCTGGACTTCTTAGCACTGTGATAATCTCCTCATCTCCAAGTCTCCAGATATCCTCTCCAGTCTCCAGCTCCCCTTGTGTTCGCATATTCTGATCTGTAAGAGAAAAAGAAATTTCCTCATCTATTACTCTCAGCTACATAGTGAAATATTTTGTGTGGTGTTACTTACCCAGTTCCCGGACTGCTCATCATCTTCTGCTCAGCTGATGTTGCTAATATACTCACCCTGTGCACTACTTGCTCAAAAAACCTTGCGTTTGTTCACCCGCTCCAGAGAGAGAATTTCCAGAGCCTACTCCAGAAAGGGAATTTCCAGATCCCGTTTCTTAGTGGCCAGTCCTAGCTCCAATGTATCTAGATCCCTTGTCACGGCCACAGAGGCTGGTCCTAACTTCAATGTTCCTTGTTTCCTCATCATGGCCACAGGGGCCGCTCCTAACTCCAGTGTGCTTAGCTCCCTTGTCATGGCCACAGAGGTCGCTCACTTCTCCCTTGTTACAGCTATGAAGGCCGCTCCTAACTCTAGAGTACCTAGCTTCCTTTTCACAGCCATGGAGGCTGCTTCTAACTCCAGTGTTCCTAGTTCCCTCAGTAAGGCCATAGAAGCCACTCCTAACTCCAGTGTTCCTAGTTCCCTCGTCATGGCCACGGAGGCCGCTTCTAACTCTAGTGTCCTTAGCTCCCTTGTCATGGCCACAGAGGCTGCTCCAAACTCCAGTGTTCCTAGTTCCCTCATCATGGCCACAGAGGCCGCTC